CGAGGAGCCCCTGCCAGCCCCTCGGCAATGTTGCGTCTCTCGCCGGGACCCCACGGTGCCCGCTGCGCTCCCGCACCATGGCGGCTAGAGGCCCCGAGCATTAGCTGCTGATGGTGTCCCACCCTGGCGACCTGTGTAACCGGAGAAGAAATCGATTCATGCTTTGAAGGCTTGTCATGAGCCTCCCGCTCCCCCTTCCCTCCCTCCTGTGGGCTGGGGGGGGGGGTGTGTTTCCAGCAGGAGATGGGGAGGGGGGGGTCTGGACACCCCACCCTGTGCTGAAGGCTGTGTCCCTGCCCCCCCGATGCATCTCATGGGGGCTGCCCCCACGGGCACAGCCATTCCTGGCCAACTTCACCACAGGAGCCCACCGTTGGTGGCGTCCTCAGAAACATGGAGGGGAGATGCTGCTTCCTCCATGGGCTTCTCCTGCTCCTTCCCTCCCTCCGGGGGCTGGGACAAGGCAGGTGTTACCCCTCCATGGCACTGGCTTGGTGCCACTGCAGGGGGGGAGCCCAAGGTGTGCGAGTCATGCTTAACGTGAGGGTGGGAGCTCTGCAGGTCACAAAATACCCTTCTCCTTCCTTCCCCGCCGGTGAGGGCCAAGCCAGAGGGGGGTGCGGGGCTTGGTGTGGTGCTTCCACCCGAGCATCTCCCAGCCCGAGGAGCTGGGAGCAAATGGAAATGGCAGCACACAAAGCAGCGCCTGTGGCCGCTCCAGACAAACTCGGGGGGCTGAGTTGGTTGGTAGAGGACTTTCGAGCTGGGCTCTTTTATTTACCCTCGTGGTAATGAATAAGTGAGAGGAGCATTGTTGTACCACCATGGAGAAATGTTTTAATGCACAGAAGCCAGGAGCGCCTCACGGTCCCCCTGGGGATGCAAACAAGCACGCGAGGAGCCTGCTTGTCAGCACGTTTCCAGCCACTGAAAGGATATCTCTGTAAACTTTTTAAAGGGGTATAATGAGCCTGTGGGGCTGATAGCCATAAGGGACCCCTGAGGCCACGCAGGTGGGCTCAGGAGGGCGGGCTTGGCAGCACCTATGGCCGCGGAGATGCCCGCACTCACCCCAGCGAGCGATTTTGGCGTAGAGGGAAATTGCTGCCCTCTCTTACTGCAGGCATCTGGGCTGGGACATCCCTCAGCTGTGGCTCGGGGGCTGGTCGTGCCATGGCCGGCGGGTTTGCGGTGCTTGCAAGGTCTGTGGGTCTTGATGTGGTCACCCCTCCCAGCAGGTCCATCCTCCAGCTGTGCCCCGCCAGGATCCCCAGCCCTTCCCCTCCCTGTAACCCCGGCCTTTGCCCCACTGGGTGTCTGTGCCCAGCTGGGACAACCCCAGACATCCCCCCTGGGATGGTGGGAGCCGAACCTCCTGGGAACACCTGGCTGTGCCGTCTGTCCTGTCCTCTCCCAACCTGCATGTCCCTGCTGGCTTTGGTCAGGCAGGGGCTGGTTTGGGGCACGCTCCTCCTGTCTCCCCACAGCTGCAGACCATGCCAAGCCCAGCTGTTCGGTGGGGACAGACCCATCCCCTCCAGAAGGAGCACCCTTCCCAGCCTTTCTCCCCAGTAAAGACTGGGAGAGCCTCTCCCAGGGAGGGCAGTGCTGCTCCCTGCCCGCAGGCAGCATGCCGCCATGCACCCTCCTGCCCACCCCCTGCACAGTGGGTGACCACCCCGTCTCCGCTCCCTCCAGGCTCACCCATGACATCAGCCTCGAGGAGTTTGAGGATGAAGACCTCTCCGAGATCACCGACGAGTGTGGAATCAGCCTGCACTGCAAGGAGAGCCTGGCCACCCGGGTAAGTGCAATGGGGACGGGGAGAGGAATGGGGACAGGCAGAGCATGCTGGTGGGGCTGACAGGGCCAGCAGCTCCTGTGCAGGACCACTAGATCCCCAGGCCAGTGATGCTTCTTTAATGAACCTATCGCCATGACCCCAATCCCCTCTGCTTGGCAGTGCCCTCTCCTCACCATGGCACAGCACAGACCCAGGGGACAAAAAAGCATCTCAAAGCCGATGCCTTTTGGTCCCCACTGTGCTGGAGGGGTTTGAGTTCATTCCTCAGGGATGAGCCTAAGGGTTTGGGCGCAACTGGGGGCAGGTCCCCATTTGAGCGGCATGGCCAGCGAGCCTCTGGCACCTGATGGGCATCCTCAGGAAGCAAGGACACATGCGAGGTGGCACTGAGGGTCCTGCACAGGCTGTGCCTCCTGCTCCCAGGTGCATCCCTGGACCTGCAGGTGCAGCTGGGCTGGCATGGTGAGAGCCCTCCTCCACTCCCCCGAGGCATTACTTCTGGCTGCCTTTAGTAGGAGCCATCCTCAGGTGTTTCAGAAGCGGGAGACCTGACCTGCCAGTGAAACAGGGATGGAGGAAGCGGCTCCAACCCCAGCAGGCAGCAGGTGAAATAAAAATGGGAGCTGTGAAGCCTGTGCAGATGCTGCAGGTGGGTCTCCCATCCACCTTAAGCACCCTGGGCCATGCTGTGGAGACACCGATGGGGTTCACACCACTATTTGAACTGCCCAAGAAGGCCATGGGGGCAGAAACGTGGAGATGAACTGAGAATTACATTGGATTTCAAAATATGCAGGGATTCTGCATTTTGCCAATGTGTTTCACGCTAAAGGGATGCAAATGCTGGACGAGCAACCAAATGGTTTGAGAATCATTTCATCCCTCAGGAGAAATATTTCCTCTGCAAAACTGATGAAGACCCAGCGAGGAGGAGAAAGGCAGAGGAGTTTGTTGCAGATCTAAAATTAGAAAGTGAATTTGTGGTGTTGGGAATCCCTTGTTGCAGGCAGGAGGGTACAGGCAAACCTCACCCCTGGGAGGTGAAGGTGTCCTGCTGTGTTCCCTGGTCTAATTCAGGACCTTCCCAGCAGAAATTCGGCTGCTCCTGGAGATGGGGCTGCTGCTCCACATCTCTGCTCCGGCCACAGACTCTTCCTGCTCCAGGATGTGATGGCTGGGGAAGGACAAGGAAAGCCTGGGCTCGTGGGCTGTGTACACTGAAGGAAGGAGGGATAACAGTGGAGGCAAAACCAAAGGCAAAACCCAGTGCTGGGTGTCCATGAGGGCACAGCCGCAGTGAGGGCAGGGTGTCAGGAAGATCCCCCTGCCTGCAATAGGTGAGGCAGGCAGGGGCTGTGGGTGCATTGCTGGACGTTTCCCATTAGCCATCCCAGTTCTCCGCTGCTAATAGCACCACTGGGCTCTTAGGACAGGATTTATTTTTTCTTTACAGACTGCCAGCCCTTGACTGAGGTTTGGCAGGGAGCGTAAAGGGTAGAGGGGACTTGAAGCTTAACCACTGCACCCCTTCCTTGAGGGTGAGGAAAAATAGACTGTTTCACCCATTTAAAACAGTTTACTGAGGGGTTTCTGCATCCCTGCGCTGCGATGCAGAGACCTGACCCTCAGGAGAGGGTTTGCTCAGGCTCCAGCAGCGAGCCCCACACCTTCCCCAGGGACAGCTCAGAGCTGCTTTACACAAATGCCTGGGTGCACTGAGAGTCTGCTGGGGTGGAAAGGGGATGCGAGGCTGCCCCTGGGGAAGTAATGAGCTATTCATAAACACAGCAAAGGAAGAATCCTACCACACTCAGAAAAAATGCCTGCTAAAAATATGTCCAAATGGTTTATATGGGACACGGAGGATTGCCCAAGGAGCAGAACCGAAAGCGGTGACAGCAACGGCAGCAAGAGGGGCTTTTCAATCCCAAACGTCGAAGGCGAGAGTCAGGGAGCTTTCCAGCCCAATTGCCGTCTGGAGCGAGCTTGGGGCGACGGGATTGCAGGATCTGCCTGATGGAAGCAGCCAGGCCCAGAGGGAGCGGCTTGGCCGGGTCTGTGTGCGGTGCAGGGGCCAGCAAATCAGTAATGACCTGCGGCCGGCATCAGCCAGCTAATTGCATCACGTGGGGATGGCTGGCTTGGCAAGTCAGCCCAACGCCAGGGCCGAGGCCGGGGGGGGCCTGCGCTGATGCCCTGCCTGCATCGAGCTCCTGGTGCCGGTGCCACAGAGCACCCGTGGTATGTAGGATGGAGGGTTGGCCCCGGTCTCCCCCGCAGCACCGGGCGGCTGGCAAAAGCCCGGTGACAGAGTGAGGAATGCGGGGAGAGAGTGAGCTGCCAGCTCGCCAGATGACACCGGAGCAGAGAGCAATGGGGAAGGGGAAAATAGAGGCTCTGGAGAGCACGGAGAGCCGCGGTGCTGGGGGCATCCAGCCCCTCTGAGCTTCCTGACCCGGAGGTGAGTCTCCAGAGAGATGGGCAGGCACAGTAACTGCCCCAGCAGTGAGCAGGAAAGCACCGGGACAGAGCGAGGGGACAAACCCTGCCAGAGGGCTGGGAAGGCGGCTGCTGGATGGGGACAGCCGGTGACCTTGGCAAGGCGGGGGGTCTGGGTGAAGCTGCTCAGCAGCAAAACTCTGTGGCGGCTGGTGTGGAGTTCAACACCCAAACAGAGATGGGGTTTGGGGTTTTTTTCAGTCCTGGAACAACAAAGATGACTTCATCGTTGGCTATTTTAGCAGCTTGCCAGAAATAGTGGCTTAGACACACAGAAACTGCAAGGAGGCGTAGACTGATGTTTGTGCAAGAGGGAACTCTACAGCGACAAGGACCGCACTTCATGGACGGGAGACCACATACTAAGAATGAGGAATATTCCCAATCACAGCAGAAACACCCCTTAATTTCAACAAGAAGCCCTGGGTGAATGAAAACTGGGAGCGAAGCAAGGGGTGGGCTGAGGAGAGTGCTGCCTGTAGGCCTGTTGAATGGCAGGGCAGGAGGCCGGCCGGGGAGGAGCAGGGGCCGTCAGGGTGAGGGATGCCACCCCCACCTCGCAAATGGCAGCTGGCTCCAGCGGGGCACTCGGGCGCATTGAGAGGGACGGTTGCAACAGAAGCGCCAGGCCTTTGCTTCGGGTTTGGCCTCAGTTTGGTGGCTTGGAAATCTGGGGTGACTGTCCCTGGTTTCAGCAAGATGGACCCCAGCAAACAACCAGGCTGCGGTTAATAAAGGCTTGGTGCCTCATCTGTATTCCAGGAGCTGCAGAAAATGGTTAATGCAGGAATGAAAAAAAAGAAAAAAGTAAGAAATACCCTTCTTGGAAATACCTGCGAGCATGAGAACAAGTGCCCAAAGGAAAAGAGTCGATATAGGGCTGTGCTGAGCCTTTGTGGTCTGCATGAAAAGGCCTGAACCAGCCATGAAGATACAGATATGTGGAGAAAAAAAACAAACCACTTTGTTTTTCCAGCATAATAAGACTGCTAGAAATGCCGGGCTTCCTCTTGATGTTCACCGTCACTGATCCAGCATGCCGCTGGCAGTAGCCATCCCCAGAAGGCCAGCGAGACCCACTGCAAAGTGGGAAGCAGCTGCCATGAGCCAGCCAACCTGCTGATCTGGGGACCGGTGGGGAGCCGGCTGTGCGGGCTGGGAGCAAACAGAACAGCAGCAAGGCAGCTGCTTACTCCAGGCAGCTTTTCAAAGGCTATCCCATGAAGCTTGCCTCTGTGATCCGTCGCTAGCTGCGGCTGCAGGTTCGGGGCAGAGAGGCTTTTCCCGGCCGGCCCTTTGAAGCCGGGAGCAAAGCAGTCGTAGCCGGGTGGTAGGGAGAGGGGACACAGTTGTCACCTCTGCTCAGCAAGTCCCCCTTGCTTCCCCGTGCTCACAAAATGCTTTTCCCAGCTGAAGGTTTTGCTCCCCTCTTTCTCTGACAGGGAAGGCTGCAGGGGTGGGGGAACAGGGAAGAGCCTTTCACCTGCTCGACCATAGGGGGTAGGGACCAGGGTCACTCAAGCAACATCTTGCGTACCACCCTGCTCCCCTTGCACAAGTCTTTCATTCCTAGGGAAGCAAGCAGCATCCAACCCTTCCTGGGGTCAGCAGCAGCCCCACACAGGCGGTTTCCCTGGCTAGACCAGTGCTCCCAGGGGTGCTCCCAGCACCTCGCAATTGCAGCAAGGCTCGAGCTGCTCCGGCCCCCCTGGGGCCCATGGACCACAGCATCAGGACCATCAGAGACCAGTTGCTGGACACTGGGACTTCTTGCCATTGGGACAGCACTGTGCGGGTGGGAGGTAGCAGCAGCAGGAGCGCACCAGCATCATGGTCATCCCAGGGACAGATCTGTAATAGAGGTGTGAGCCTCCCCGTGACCGCATCGGGGTCCAGGTGTGCATCTTGTGTACATCCTGCCACGGGATTCGGGCACTAGTACTCCCACATGCCCTAATCTCTCCCACAGGCTGAAGGGACTTTGGGAAGTCACCTCACCATTGTGTCTGTGCTGAGGCGTGAGCATACTCAGGCTGGCCTTAGGTTACATGAACTTGTTCCTAGAGGGCTCTCAAGGCAACCTGTTCTGGTGGGGCAGCATCCTTCCAGTTAGAAAGGCTTCCCAACATCTAGTCCCTGCCCTCACTTTGCAGATCACCACAGGTCCCCCTCAGATGGTAAGGTGATCTATTGCTGTGTGGTTACAAAATCACTTTGTTGTGCTACAGTCCATTAATAAGTGCCTGTGGTGGTTGTAGCTTCTTCCTAGCTATTGAACCTGGAATAGTGCATCCCTCCTAGGGCACACTTTTCTTCAAAACAGGTACTGTTTTTCTTTTCTGCATCCTTCTGGGACTTTCCCTCCTCTGTGAGTTTTCCGAGTGATTGCTACAGCTACAGGATTACTGAGGCAGCATCATTAGCAGTCTAGGTTGAACGTCACCAGCTGACTCGAACACACCTACCTTAGTATGATCTATTTAGCCGGCATTTCCTCCCAG